CCACTCACCCAACCTGTCGAGATCATGCTGGAGGATTTCTGCATCATTGTTACAGTTCACCACCAACCCCCCCAACCCAAACTGGCATCATCTGCAAACTTGGAGATGTTACATTTGTTCCCTCATCCAAATAATTGATATATATAGTGTATGGCTGGAGTCCCAGCACCGATCCCTGTGACACCCCACTAGTTACTGCCTGCCAATTTGTAAAGGACCCATTGATTCCTACTCTTTGTTTTCTCTCCCCAACCAGTTTCTTATCCGTCTCAATACACTTCACCCAATCCCACGCGCTTAAATCTTGCAAGTTAATTGCTTATGTGGCTCTTTGTCAAATGCTTTCTGAAAGTCCAAATATATTACATTGACTGGCTCCCCTATGTCAACTCTACTAGGTTACATCTTCATAGAATTCCAACTAATTTGTCAAGAATTATTTCCTCTTCTTAAATCCATGCTGACTCTGTCTGATCCTGCCATTGCTTTCTAAATGCTCTGCTATAAAATCCACGACAATGGATTCAAGAATTTTTCCCACTACTGATGTTAGGCTCACTGGTCTATAATTCCCTGTTTTCTCTCCACCTCCCTTTTTGAATATTCCAATCTGCAGGGACTGAGTTGAGGTTGGTTGGCTCGCCGAGCTGGTTTGTTGTTTTACAGACATTTCGTTACCATGCTGGGTAACATCCTCAGTGCAGCCTCTGATGAAGCGTCGGTGTGTTTTTCCGCCTGGTTTTTAAACTCTGGAGTCCGTTGAGCTGCAGGGACTGTTCTAGAGTCTATAGAATCCTGGAAGATGACCACTAATGCATCCACTATCTTTCGAGCTACTACCTTAAGCACTCTGGGATGTAGATTATCAGGCCCTGGGGATTTATTGGCTTTCAATCCCATCAATTTTCCCAGCACCGTTTCTCTACTAATATTGATCTTCCTCAGTTCTTCCCTGTCACTAAATCTTGCATCCTCTAACAATTCTGGTACCTGATTTGTGTCCTCTTTTGTGAAGACAGAACCAAAGTATGTATTCAGTACCTCAGCCATTTCT